AAAGTGAGGAAGAAGAGTGTGTGTCACAGCAACATTCTTTAGTGACATCATCCATCACATGTTTGCTTTTCTGTTTGAGTTGTGTAATTATAAATAAAAGCATGCCATGTGGTTACTCTAGCTTCCACCTTAGTCAAACTATACGGCCCACTTTAGTTACTGTGTAATATCTCCCGACCTACCCTCCTAACCGTTTTGTTGATTTTATTTCCTTCTAATCTTCATTGAGTCCTAACTCAAGGAGAGTCTTTCCAAATATGTAGCAGTCGCTGTCCTCGGAGTTGGAGATAATGAGCGTGTTCTTTTGTTTACCGATGCGACTAACAATAGTCACCGGTGTTGTTGTCTGCCTCATAGCCGTCTACTACACCATGTTTCCGAGGGAAAAATACTTTGATCATCGAAGATACCATTTGACGGTTTGTACGGAATATTATTCGGTTTTTGTTCCTTCCAATATTCACTCAACTGCTTGGTTAAACACTTTTGGTTCTCTTTTAACACAAATTGCATAAGGTATAAATTTATAACATTAGTCCTTTTTGTTTTTTTAGGTCAAATTTGTAACATTAGTCCACGGTCTAATTTTAATTAAAACAAAATTCAGGGAACTATATGGTGGTGTGGAGTGGAGATATCCGCATTGCTGAAGTATTAAACCGTCCCAGATAAGCTGTTGAGGGACGCATTCATCACCTTGTCGATTGATAATACTCAATCAGTAGGTCGATTCATCAATGTTTTTTATAGCAACCACTGACATAAATTTTTTGATGTTAGAAGTACAAGACATAAAGAAAAACAATGAAAAACGTCACAAGTACTCTATTGGGCTTATGATTTGTTTCCTGTCTAACAATAAAAAATAACCGTCATTTTCATAAAGATTGTGATCGCTTTTTGGAGCAAAGTTTCCTTTGGAAGTTATTTATCGCCAGTTTTATGTCTTTGTCTCATGTCTTGTCAATGATTTGAATAGATTCCTCAATGCTCTTGAAACTATGGGAGGAACTCTTCAAGCAAAAGATGTGGAATCAAGAAATGTGCCTCGTGGAATGATCCACTAGTTGCTTTGGTTTTGGGTGTTCACCAAGTAGGTCTATCTGGATGGAAGCAAGAAGAATGTTTAGCCACTGGAAATGAACTCCTTGCTTGGCGAGAGAGAGAGACCTACTAGAAAAAGAAGGTTATTTTTTTCTCTCACTTATGTCAACTCAGTGAATCATTCTATGTAACTCCGACTTGTGAGACTAGTTTGCTATTTGCAGTTGTAAAATATATGCAAGCTATAATTAAATGCTCCTTATTTTTTTCATGAAGGAGGAGAGGATGGAAAAACCATTTGGGCCATGACTCACGAGGCTGAAAGCAACTCTTCATCGAGCACGGAGATTAACAGCAGAATATATTATTCTGATTTACTTCTTCAAATATTTCCTCCTAATGTGGAGGTACGCATTATCATGTCTTATATTCTGTAATTAGTGATGCAACTTCTACAGTTCTACTGTAGTCCCAAACATTTGGGCAGAGCCATGGTTGGTCCTACAACTTAGTCGACCCAACACAAGGTCATGCAACCAAGTTTCCAAAACGCTCCTTTCACCATTTATAAAAAGAGGGGATCCAAAGAGAACGCATGTCATGTCGATCAGAGGAGAACGCTAGTTAGTTCAATCTAGGAGGACGTTTTGGTTCGTTCTATAATAGTTTGGTCCGTCCACTCGGAAACAGTACTTGTACTGTTGTACATACTCTTAATCATACCAAGACGCGCGAAGAGTGTAGTTAATTGTTAGATACGTGATACATCGAGTTTTCCCTAACTTGGTCACTGTTTTTGAGACAACAAAAGATCGGTTAGAAAAACAATGTTTTCCTGTGGTATTCTTCAATTGCTCTTAGGCACCAATGATTTCAGTTGATTTTTATGTTCATCAACCGGCCTTTCATGCATACATTGTTTTCATAAGTATAACTATTTTTAATTTTGTTTAGACTTTAATTAAGAAATGATCAGAACACAATATATACTTAAGTTTAAGATCATTCG